CTACGTGCCAGCCTCGACACCATGGGAGTGCCGCTGCCCTTAATCGCGCGGATGGAGCCGCAGCTGGCTTCCCTCCTGCTCTCACGGTGCATCTCACGGCGGATCGCTTACGTCGCCCGCACCACGCCGCTTTCGGCCCTGCCAGTCGAGGAGTGGTCAGACTGGGGTAAAAAGCTGTTTGAGACGTTGCTGACTGCCTGCGGCATTCGCCACCCACGGGGGGAGGCCGAGATTTCACGTACCTGGGCGCAAGCGTCACTCCCCATCTCGCTCGGTGGTTTGGGACTCACAGACCCTTCGGTGGAGGGTCGTGTTGGGTTCCTTGCAAGCTACACGCAAGCGCAGCACCTGCTCACCTCCATTGATGAGTCGGCCGTCGGCGCCTTGGCGGAAACGCGGGTCCAGATGGTGGGGCCCTTCATCAACACGTCCCCGCTCTTTGACTGGTTGGAGAGGTGTGAGGAGTCACTGCCGGACGATGGGAAGGAGCTGCTGCAGAGCGATCGGGCTAATCCCAAGGGCGCCAAGCTGCAGCATGGGCTGGCAATCGCGGTACACGGACTGCGCTACGCGGAGCAGGTGCAGGCTACACGCATCATGCCACTCAACCCACTAAGCGGGCACACTCAGCGCATGCTTTCACTCTCAGGGTATGGGGCAGGAGACTGGCTCAACGCGGTCCCCTTCAACTCGACACTGCGGCTTGCCCCGGCTCACTTTGCGCATGCGCTGCAGTTCAGGATGGGGTTACCCTCCTCGGCACCTGGCGCGTGTGACTGCCGCAATAAGACGGCAATCCTTGACAGGCGCCTGCCCAACCACCTGCTGCGCTGCGACACGGGGAAGGGGCGGACCAACACGCACAATGAGTTGCGCGATGCGTGTGTACACATGGCCGCCGACGCTGACTTCATGACTCACAGCGAAACGACTACGTTCTGCCCCGTCACTCTGAAGAAAGCCGACATTGCGATCCGGGACAAGTCCTCAGGAACGGTGTGGATAGGGGACGTGACCATCACGGACCCCATCAGCACACGGGATCCCAACGCGGTCAAGGGCAGGGGATGGGCGGCCAGGGAGGCGGCGGAGAAGAAGATCTCCGACTACGAGGGCTCAACGGCCTCGTGGGTCGGGTTCTTCCCCCTTGCCGTTGATACCTATGGCTGTCCTTGCGCGGAGGTCCCTCAATTCCTCAAACTTCTGGCCGACACCGGCGCGCGCCGGCTCTTCAACGCGGCCCCCTCATCTTACCAGGCAACAAAGCTGCTGCACCAGTTCCGCCAGCGGTGGTCCGTGGCGCTGCAGCGGGCGCAGTCAGTGAGCTTCATGACGAAGTGCAACTACGCGGCTCAGGTGGAGAACCCACCTGTGGCGCTGCCGGGCGAAGGAATGTCCCTCGGGGACTGCCTTGCCATCCTGGAGCCGGCATTGGAGCTGCCTTAGAGGGTGAAGGAGGGTAGGTAGGATGTGGGGGTTTTAGAAGCTGAGATGCATTGCTTCTTATATCCTTGTGCATGTCTGTACCTTGCTCGGATCTAATACACGGACCGCTTGAGAGAGAGAGAGGGGACAGCAGCACGTGCATGGTGGTATGACATGATGAGGTGACTTCTGAGTCGACTCATTCATCACATTGTTATCTCCCCTCCTGCTGTCAGGTTGCCTACTGCCCGCACCACCTGGGGTGAGACAAGAAGCGAAAGAGGGACGGTAAAAGAGAGAGAGGAGAGAGTGGAGCATACCGGAGTGAGGAGGCGGGGAGGCGGAAAGCAGAGGCACGAGGGCCTCTACGAGGATGTTCACTCATGGTTATATTGAAACCACTTTTGAGAATTCTGAAATCACTTTTGAGAATTCTCAAAAGTGATTTCAATAGAGCAGAGGCACGAGGGCCTCTACGGGGATCTTCACTCATAGTTAGAAGAGCAGCAGCAGCAGGATCGACTACCAGCTCGGCAGCCACGAGCCCCTCAGCAGGAGAGGGGTGAATCAAGGTAGGAAATGAGAGGTTGCGAGCATGGGCAGTGAAGCATGGTGCGTACGGGAGTGAGCAGGGCGACATCAGTCGTGGAGGTGAGCAGAGGCACGAGGGCCTCTATGAGCCCGGCAGCAACGACGAGCAGATGAGGACAAGAGCAGATGGGTGAGGGCAGGAAACGAGAGGTTGCATGCATGGGCAGTGGTGTTTGGTGCATACGGGAGTGAGCAGGGCGACATCAGTGGTGTTTGGTGCATACGGGAGTGAGCAGGGCGACATCAGTGGTGTTTGGTGCATACGGGAGTGAGCAGGGCGACATCAGTGGTGTTTGGTGCATACGGGAGTGAGCAGGGCGACATCAGTGGTGTTTGGTGCATACGGGAGTGAGCAGGGCGACATCAGTGGTGTTTGGTGCATACGGGAGTGAGCAGGGCGACATCAGTGGTGTTTGGTGCAGACGGGAGTGAGCAGGGCGACATCAGTGGTGTTTGGTGCATACGGGAGTGAGCAGGGCGACATCAGTGGTGTTTGGTGCATACGGGAGTGAGCAGGGCGACATCAGTGGTGTTTGGTGCAGACGGGAGTGAGCAGGGCGACATCAGTGGTGTTTGGTGCATACGGGAGTGAGCAGGGCGACATCAGTGGTGTTTGGTGCAGACGGGAGTGAGCAGGGCGACATCAGTGGTGTTTGGTGCATACGGGAGTGAGCAGGGCGACATCAGTGGTGTTTGGTGCATACGGGAGTGAGCAGGGCGACATCAGTGGTGTTTGGTGCATACGGGAGTGAGCAGGGCGACATCAGTGGTGTTTGGTGCATACGGGAGTGAGCAGGGCGACATCAGTGGTGTTTGGTGCATACGGGAGTGAGCAGGGCGACATCAGTGGTGTTTGGTGCATACGGGAGTGAGCAGGGCGACATCAGTGGTGTTTGGTGCATACGGGAGTGAGCAGGGCGACATCAGTGGTGTTTGGTGCATACGGGAGTGAGCAGGGCGACATCAGTGGTGTTTGGTGCATACGGGAGTGAGCAGGGCGACATCAGTGGTGTTTGGTGCATACGGGAGTGAGCAGGGCGACATCAGTGGTGTTTGGTGCATACGGGAGTGAGCAGGGCGACACCAGTGGTGTTTGGTGCATACGGGAGTGAGCAGGGCGACATCAGTGGTGTTTGGTGCATACGGGAGTGAGCAGGGCGACATCAGTGGTGTTTGGTGCATACGGGAGTGAGCAGGGCGACATCAGTGGTGTTTGGTGCATACGGGAGTGAGCAGGGCGACATCAGTGGTGTTTGGTGCATACGGGAGTGAGCAGGGCGACATCAGTGGTGTTTGGTGCATACGGGAGTGAGCAGGGCGACATCAGTGGTGTTTGGTGCATACGGGAGTGAGCAGGGCGACATCAGTGGTGTTTGGTGCAGACGGGAGTGAGCAGGGCGACATCAGTGGTGTTTGGTGCATACGGGAGTGAGCAGGGCGACATCAGTGGTGTTTGGTGCATACGGGAGTGAGCAGGGCGACATCAGTGGTGTTTGGTGCAGACGGGAGTGAGCAGGGCGACATCAGTGGTGTTTGGTGCATACGGGAGTGAGCAGGGCGACATCAGTGGTGTTTGATGCAGACGGGAGTGAGCAGGGCGACATCAGTGGTGTTTGGTGCATACGGGAGTGAGCAGGGCGACATCAGTGGTGTTTGGTGCATACGGGAGTGAGCAGGGCGACATCAGTGGTGTTTGGTGCATACGGGAGTGAGCAGGGCGACATCAGTGGTGTTTGGTGCATACGGGAGTGAGCAGGGCGACATCAGTGGTGTTTGGTGCAGACGGGAGTGAGCACGGCGACATCAGTGGTGTTTGGTGCATACGGGAGTGAGCAGGGCGACATCAGTGGTGTTTGGTGCATACGGGAGTGAGCAGGGCGACATCAGTGGTGTTTGGTGCATACGGGAGTGAGCAGGGCGACATCAGTGGTGTTTGGTGCATACGGGAGTGAGCAGGGCGACATCAGTGGTGTTTGGTGCATACGGGAGTGAGCAGGGCGACATCAGTGGTGTTTGGTGCATACGGGAGTGAGCAGGGCGACATCAGTGGTGTTTGGTGCATACGGGAGTGAGCAGGGCGACATCAGTGGTGTTTGGTGCATACGGGAGTGAGCAGGGCGACATCAGTGGTGTTTGGTGCATACGGGAGTGAGCAGGGCGACATCAGTGGTGTTTGGTGCATACGGGAGTGAGCAGGGCGACATCAGTGGTGTTTGGTGCATACGGGAGTGAGCAGGGCGACATCAGTGGTGTTTGGTGCATACGGGAGTGAGCAGGGCGACATCAGTGGTGTTTGGTGCATACGGGAGTGAGCAGGGCGACATCAGTGGTGTTTGGTGCAGACGGGAGTGAGCACGGCGACATCAGTGGTGTTTGGTGCATACGGGAGTGAGCAGGGCGACATCAGTGGTGTTTGGTGCATACGGGAGTGAGCAGGGCGACATCAGTGGTGTTTGGTGCATACGGGAGTGAGCAGGGCGACATCAGTGGTGTTTGGTGCATACGGGAGTGAGCAGGGCGACATCAGTGGTGTTTGGTGCATACGGGAGTGAGCAGGGCGACATCAGTGGTGTTTGGTGCATACGGGAGTGAGCAGGGCGACATCAGTGGTGTTTGGTGCATACGGGAGTGAGCAGGGCGACATCAGTGGTGTTTGGTGCATACGGGAGTGAGCAGGGCGACATCAGTGGTGTTTGGTGCATACGGGAGTGAGCAGGGCGACATCAGTGGTGTTTGGTGCATACGGGAGTGAGCAGGGCGACATCAGTGGTGTTTGGTGCATACGGGAGTGAGCAGGGCGACATCAGTGGTGTTTGGTGCATACGGGAGTGAGCAGGGCGACATCAGTGGTGTTTGGTGCATACGGGAGTGAGCAGGGCGACATCAGTGGTGTTTGGTGCATACGGGAGTGAGCAGGGCGACATCAGTGGTGTTTGGTGCATACGGGAGTGAGCAGGGCGACATCAGTGGTGTTTGGTGCATACGGGAGTGAGCAGGGCGACATCAGTGGTGGCGGAGAGCAGAGGCACGAGGGCTTCTATGAGCCCGGCAGCAACGAGCCTCTCTGCACTCGCGTCTGACAGCGCTGTCACGTATGCCGCCACCCATGCTGCCTCCACTGCTGCCTCTGCGTTGCTGTGAGGGTGGGGAGGGCGAGGCACAGGGGGATGAAAAAGGCAACAATGCTGATAGATTGGGGAGAGCCATAAGGAGAGCGAGGTGACTCAAAAGTCACCAGGGGGATGAAAAGGGCAACAATGCTGTTAGATTGGGGAAAGCCATAAGAGAGCGGCGCTGTCACACATGCCGCCCGCCACCCACGCTCCCTCCACCGCCACCGCCTCTTGCAGAGAAGGCTCGGATGTAAGGAAAATGAAGGATGTAAGGAAAATGAAGGATGTAAGGAAAATGAAGGATGTAAGGAAAATGAAGGATGTAAGGAAAATGAAGGATGCATGCGGAAAATGAAGGATGCATGCGGAAAATGAAGGATGCATGCGGAAAATGAAGGATGCATGCGGAAAATGAAGGATGCATGCGGAAAATGAAGGATGCATGCAGAAAATGAAGGATGCATGCGGAAAATGAAGGATGCATGCGGAGAAGAAGAGGTGAATATCGATATGAGGGAGGATGGAGGCAGGGGAAAAGAACACTCCAGGCGTGTCTCGAGATAGGAGGGAAATGGAACGATGGAGCAACGGGGAACGGGGCACAGGGGCACAGGGGGACAGGGGTACACTCTCCACACTCCCACACCCTCCACACTCCCACACCTTCCAAACTCCCACACCCTCCACCCTCCCACACCCTCCACACTCCCACACCCTCCACCCTTCGTAGCAACCCCTCCCCTACCCTGAGGACAGAAGGGTCACAATCGCTGCATCAACACCGTCCGATTTCACTAGATCAACGGCTGCACGGGGGCTGGGGCCCTGCGAAGGCACACAGGGGAACGACAGGGAGTAGGAAAAGATGGTGAGGCTAGTTTTGAGGCGCCTAAAAAAAGTACACACAAGGGGGAAAGGGGGTTGTGCACCGGACTGGAGGAGGTACACACGGGGGAGGTACACATGGGGGAGGATCCAGAGAGCCACCCCAGCCCAGAGTGACCTGCGGGGGAGCCATGCCACGACAGGCCCATCCCCCGCCCACCCACATTAATGAGCGCAGTGGCAGAAGCAAGCAGGGCGTGAGCGATACAGGCAACACCCCCCTATGCTGCTGCGTGCAGAGGCGCCGAGTGTGGTTTCCCCCAAGGGCAACAGCAGCAGCAGCAGCAGTGGGAGTAGTCATTGAGCAGGAGGCAGCAGCAGTGAGCAGCAGCAGCGGGAGCAGTGAGCAGGGGGCTAACTCTGACCACGCACGCACGCTACCAGGAATCCAACAGCTGCGTGCGTGGTCAGAGCCCATCCCATGCCACCGCCTCGCTCACCTTAATAAGTGAAGAGAGAGCCCATCCCATGCCACCGCCTCGCTCACCTTAATAAGTGAAGAGAGAGCCCATCCCATGCCACCGCCTCGCTCACCTTAATAAGTGAAGAGAGAGCCCATCCCATGCCACCGCCTCGCTCACCTTAATAAGTGAAGAGAGAGCCCATCCCATGCCACCGCCTCGCTCACCTTAATATGTGAAGAGAGAGCCCATCCCATGCCACCGCCTCGCTCACCTTAATATGTGAAGAGAGAGCCCATCCCATGCCACCGCCTCGCTCACCTTAATAAGTGAAGAGAGAGCCCATCCCATGCCACCGCCTCGCTCACCTTAATAAGTGAAGAGAGAGCCCATCCCATGCCACCGCCTCGCTCACCTTAATAAGTGAAGAGAGAGCCCATCCCATGCCACCGCCTCGCTCACCTTAATAAGTGAAGAGAGAGCCCATCCCATGCCACCGCCTCGCTCACCTTAATAAGTGAAGAGAGAGCCCATCCCATGCCACCGCCTCGCTCACCTTAATAAGTGAAGAGAGAGCCCATCCCATGCCACCGCCTCGCTCACCTTAATAAGTGAAGAGAGAGCCCATCCCATGCCACCGCCTCGCTCACCTTAATATGTGAAGAGAGAGCCCATCCCATGCCACCGCCTCGCTCACCTTAATATGTGAAGAGAGAGCCCATCCCATGCCACCGCCTCGCTCACCTTAATAAGTGAAGAGAGAGCCCATCCCATGCCACCGCCTCGCTCACCTTAATAAGTGAAGAGAGAGCCCATCCCATGCCACCGCCTCGCTCACCTTAATAAGTGAAGAGAGAGCCCATCCCATGCCACCGCCTCGCTCACCTTAATAAGTGAAGAGAGAGCCCATCCCATGCCACCGCCTCGCTCACCTTAATAAGTGAAGAGAGAGCCCATCCCATGCCACCGCCTCGCTCACCTTAATAAGTGAAGAGAGAGCCCATCCCATGCCACCGCCTCGCTCACCTTAATAAGTGAAGAGAGAGCCCATCCCATGCCACCGCCTCGCTCACCTTAATATGTGAAGAGAGAGCCCATCCCATGCCACCGCCTCGCTCACCTTAATATGTGAAGAGAGAGCCCATCCCATGCCACCGCCTCGCTCACCTTAATATGTGAAGAGAGAGCCCATCCCATGCCACCGCCTCGCTCACCTTAATAAGTGAAGAGAGAGCCCATCCCATGCCACCGCCTCGCTCACCTTAATAAGTGAAGAGAGAGCCCATCCCATGCCACCGCCTCGCTCACCTTAATAAGTGAAGAGAGAGCCCATCCCATGCCACCGCCTCGCTCACCTTAATAAGTGAAGAGAGAGCCCATCCCATGCCACCGCCTCGCTCACCTTAATAAGTGAAGAGAGAGCCCATCCCATGCCACCGCCTCGCTCACCTTAATAAGTGAAGAGAGAGCCCATCCCATCCCACCGTCTTGGCCAGCGATGCCATAGCAGAGGGCGCCTGTGCCGTCAACCATCGCCCCCCACTGCTGCCCCCAGTGCTGCCTCCAGAGGAGAGCACGGCTGGCAGAGGGTGCCTGTGCTGTAAACCACCGCCCCCCACTGCTGCACCCAGCTGTGAGAGAGGTACAGATACGCCCGCCCACCTTGATGAGGGAGGAGAGCGCCCATGCCACCGTCTTGATCCAGCAGCTGTGAGAGAGATCATGACGAGGCCATTCTGTAGAGTTCTCAGTACTCACCTTGATGAGAGAGGAAAGCGCCCACGCCACTGTCTTGGCCAGGGATTCCACAGCAGAGGGTGCCTGTGCTGTCAACCAGCGGGCCCCTGTGTTTCCCCCAGAGGCACCAGAGGCAGCAGCGAGCAGCAGGCGAGTGAGGGCGGGCAGGGCGCCCTGATCCAACAGCTGTGCTCTCAGGTCGTCTGCCTCTGCTGCTATGTTGCCCACCGCCCACACACACTGCTCCGCTATTGCGGGTGATGGGGAGTCTGATGGAGGTAAGGAGGAGAAAGGGGGAACAAACGACGAAACACACGAGAAACTTCGTGACGTATCTGCGTTGATTTGGGAGTGGTTGGGTTGGGTTGAGTTGAGGTGCTTGATCAGGGTTGGGTTCGCACTCTCGTGAGACAGGCAGCAACGATGAGAGCAGACGGTGAGAGGGGACAGTGGGGAGTGTGAGTGAGGGAGTGAAAGAGGGAGTCAGTGAATGAGGAAGTGAGTGAGTGAGTGCGTGAGTGAGTGAGTGAGCGGGTGGTACCGCACCAGTGCAGTGAGCGATGAGCAGAGCAGCACAGGGCAGCACAGCACGCGTCTCCTCTGCCTCCCCCGACGCTATGTTGGTCACACACCACGCTGCTTCCAGGAGCTGATGGGAAAGGTAGCGGGGATGAAAAGTGGAGGGGGGGGGGGGGGGACAGAGTGGAGGACATCACACTGTTGCTTCTTGGAGCTGGTGGGAGAAAAACGAAGGGAACAGATTGGATTGGACAACAACACACCGGCTCCCATCCCCCCTCCCCTACACCTGCTCCTCCCCTCACTCCTCTCCCCCACTTGCTCCCCTCCGCCCTCTCCTTCAACTGCTCCTCGGGGGATCCGAACGCCAGGCACTGCGCCAGCAGAGGCATGGCGTGGCAGCACATGGCACTCCAACCCATCCATCCCTTCCCTTCCCCAACCCATTCCCCTTCATGACTTTCCCTCCCTCCCATATACCCCGCACCCTTTCCTCCCCCACACCGCCCTTTCCTCCTCCGGGGCTCCAAACGCCAGGCACTCCGCCAGCAGGGGACGGCGCCACAGCGCACGGAAGTGTACCCATCCTTTCGCCAACCCATTTCCCTTCCTTGCTTTCTCTCTCTCCCATTTATCCCCACCCTTTCCCCCCACACACGCCCTCTCTTCCCCCCACCGACCTGCTCCTCAGGAGCGCCGAACGCCAGGCACTCCGCCAGCAAGGGGACGGCGCCGCAGCGCACAGCAGCGCCAAGTGGCGGGCTGTGATTGGCCGAGAGCAGCTGGCGCAACGCCTTGAGCGTCTCCACCCTCTCCTGCTGCACGGCTGCCCCCCCCGCTCTGGCGGTGCTGGGGGTGGGGGGAGGGGGATGGGGTTGTGGAGAAGGGGATGGGGAGGGGGATGGGTTTGTGGAGAAGGGGATGGGGAGGGGGATGGGTTTGTGGGGAAGGGGATGGGGATGGGGATGGGGGTGAGAGAGGACTGGAGAGAGAGAGAGAGACACGTGGGAGAGAGGACTGGAGAGAGAGAGAGACACGTGGAGGTGATAAAAAAAGAAAGCCACTCACCCTTCAAACGAGCCCTTGAGCCTCTTAACCGCCTCCTCCACCCGCCCCTTCCCCTCCACTCACCCCTCGTCCTTTTGAGGCATCTCAAACATCCACTCACCCTCCCAACGCCACTCACCCTCCCAACGCCACTCACCCTCCCAACGCCACTCACCCTCCCAACGCCACTCACCCTCCCAACGCCACTCACCCTCCCAACGCCACTCACCCTCCCAACGCCACTCACCCTCCCAACGCCACTCACCCTCCCAACGCCACTCACCCTCCCAACGCCACTACTCACCCTCCCAACGCCACTCACCCTCCCAACGCCACTCACTCACCCTCCCAACGCCACTCACCCTCCCAACGCCACTCACTCACCCTCCCAACGCCACTCACCCTCCCAACGCCACTCACCCTCCCAACGCCACTCACCCTCCCAACGTCACCCACCCTTCAAACGTGCCCTTGAGCCGCTTAACCGCCTCCTCCACACGCCCTTCCTCCTTATGAGATACCTCAAAGCTCCACTCACTCTTCTACCACCACTCACCCTTCTACCACCACTCACCCTTCTACCACCACTCACCCTTCTACCACCACTCACCCTTCAAACGTCCCCTTCAATCTCTTAACCGCCTCCTCCACTCGCCCCTCCTCCTCCACCCGCCTCCTCTCCTCCTCCTCCTCCTCCTCGCCCTCCCCCTCCCGCCCCTCCAACTCCATCCCCCCCTCCAAACCCCCCAACCCTTCACCCACGACAATCCCCTCCCCCCGCCGCATCCGCTTAGCGCGCACCAGCGCCCCCCGCCTGTCCTTGGATATAGCTGCCACCACTCCCCGCCTTCTTGCTGCTGCTGCCGCCGTGGCTGAGGTGGGGTGGTGGTGATGGGGAGGTCGACAGGGAGGGAATGGGGGGTGAGAGGAGGTAACTCAGCAGCACCAGCGCCCCCCGCCTGTCCTTGCTTATTGCTGCTACCACTCCCTGCCATCTTGCTGCTGCCGCCGCCTTGGCTGGGACAGAGGGGGGGACAGAAGTGGGGATGGGAGAGGGCAAGTCAGGAGCATCCGTTTAGCACACACCAGCGCCCCTCGCCTGACCTTTGATATAGCTGCTACCACACCACCCCCCTCCTCCGTGCTGCTGCTGCTGCTGCCGTGGCTGGCACCGACAGGAAGGGGGGGGAGGGGGAGTAGAAGGTGGGTTGGGGGGTGACGGAAGTGGGGTTGGGAGGGAAGAATCAATGGCATTCTTTTAGTGCACGCCAGCCACATAAAAATCACTTTTGAGAATTATATATATATATATATATATATATATATATATATATAAAAAGGATCAATGGCATCCTTTTAGCGCACGCGCACCAGCCCTACCCACGCCTGTCTTTGGATATAGCTGCCACCACGCCCCGCCGTCTTGCTGTTGCTGCCGCCGTGGCTGAGGTGGGGTGGGGAGAGAGGGCGGACGGGTTTTTGGCAGGGAGGAACCGGCGGCAGCAACAGCAAGACTGCTGAGGAGGGAGTGGGGTTAAGAAGAGGTAGTCCATGCGCACAGTCCCTTGCTTTGAATAAAAGAATCAAAAGAATTAAACGAATAAAAAGAATCACAATCCATGCTCGTCGGGAGACGAGCAATTGCGAGGGAGAAAAAAAAGAATCAAAAGCGAAGGCTTCTGAAAAAACCCGCGGCAAGGGAAGGTTGGGGGGACGGGGTGGAAGATGGGAGACATGGGAGAGTGGAGAGGGAGGAGGGAGGCGAAGTGCCATGGCATGCTCCTACTGCTGTGGTGTGGCTGGTGGGACCCATGGGGAAACTGGGGGAAACTGGGAGAGCGACTTTCGAGGTGCCTGAGAAGTTGCATCTGCTGTGGCTGGTGGGATGGGAGCCATGGGGGAACTGGAGGAAACGGGGAGAGCGGAGAAATGAATGAGGTCCGGTGGGAGGGATTTTTGAGGCGCCTCAAAAGTGTGTTAATCTGCTGCGGCTGGTGGGAGCCATGGCGGAACTGGAAGAAGAACGGGGAGAGCAGGTAAATGAATGAGGTCCGGTGGGGGCGACGCGTCGTGAAAGCGTCGTACCGGACTGCTTAAAAAGATCGCGCCGATTCGCATGACCGTGGAGATGCGTCTGCGACGGCGACGGCGGCCCGTGCGACTGCATGGCGACCGAGCGATGCGATGATTTCTACTCAGGTTGAAAAAGCGTCGCCTAACGTACAGGACGACTGAGGTCAGCGCACTGGGGATCTCAACACAAGACTTATAGACACAAATCGCGTCTTGTAGCATTTGACCTCCCGCATCGCCTCTTCTACTCCGCCTCGTCTCATGTCTCGCTGTTTTGGAGTTACCAAGATTCTGGTGTCAGCAAGTCAGGCATGGCGGCAAGCTGCACTCGGATGCCCCCATGAAGTGACTCTTTATTCCATATAGAAACGAACATGCGTTATGTGTAGAATATGATCCGAAAATCACATATTCTGGAAGAAGAAATTGTAGTTCAGGCGAATCTCAATCATTGTTGCGTAACGTAATCTCTCTGAATCTGAATTGAAGCTAACATCCAGTAAATTTCAAAATTATGAATGGTTTAATTACAGTCTGATGATTCTTATTCCATAAAAACACATGCTAACGTAAGGACCCGAATATCCGTGGAAGCAGTGTAAAAAGAGCTCGCCAACTATTTGATCTACAGTATTTGGCTGGCGTGTCACGGCTCGTTGCATAACTTGTGCCACAATGTTTCGCAAACCCGAGGACTGTTTGGTTATTGCCACCAAGAGACTGAAACTTAACAAAGCATCGAGCCGCAATGAGAGGTGAAAGCCTAAGTAAACAGCGAGATCCAGTCGGAACAGAGACTCAAGTTTCAAATGTTCGAGACCGCAATTTTCTTTATTTTCTGCTTGTGTCCTTGGCGTTGTTTGCATCAATTTCGCGCCATTTGCCAGCACCACTCTTCCCCCCCTCCCGCTGAGGGCAATCGACACACGCATCCAGCAATGCAAATCCGGCTCTCTCAGGTCTCGCCTCAAATTCCCAGGCGCGCTGGGGCTCGCTTTGCATTCATCAGCTTCACATGTTGAGCTTGAAAAAAGATGCTCGCCTCGAGGTGAGGAAAGAAGTTGGGGCATTGGATGCAGAGGACGATGACTTCCTGGCATTTCTAGACTGCTTCTTCCAGAGTAAAAAAGTTGCGTCGTCAGATTTTAGTAGGCGCGTTTAACAAGTTTTGATTCGCCCCGCTAACGAAACGACTCCATTTTCAAGAATGAACGGCGCCGCGGATGGAGGGTGCTCGCTGCAGTTCGACGCGGCGACGGCGACGGAGTTTCTGCGGCTGCAGCGCGTGCTGATGCGGCAGGGCGCGAGCCGCGCCACGAACGCCGACACGCTGTCGTGGCTGTTCGACGCCGCCAAGGCGCAAATCGACGAGCTGGCGTGGCGGGACGGCAAGCGCATCCGAATAACGACCAGTATTCGTAAGCGTGTTCGACCGAGGTGACTCACATTAAAAAAAAGAAGTACTTTAACAAACCTAGGCCTTTTACCGTCTCACAAAGCCAAGAACCTCTCTTGAATCAGCGAAACTTGTCGCGCTCTCCCGTTCGACGTTTTTGTTTATCCCTCATTTCTAAAGCTTCATTTCCAACCGTTGGAGGGTAACCGGTTCTGAAAACTTCGTCCCCGTTCGCGAATCTTCGTATACTTTAGAAGGAATGAGAGCCACTCTTCAGCCGTGGCAGGGTCCGCCCTCCGCCATTCACGCGACATCTATGCGCGCATTCACTATCGAAGAGCTCCTTTTACCCCAGACCTACCTGCTTACCATCTTGTCCCCACGTTCGTTTCGTTTCGATCCCTACTTATTGCCCCATCCCCACATTCGTATCGCCCTATCCCCGCAGCTGACATTGCGGACATTCTCCCCGCGCCCATCTGGCACATCATCTTCCGCCTCCTGCTGCTGCCGCCCGCCCGCCCCGACGAACCCGCCGACGCCGCTGCCGCCGCCGCCGCCGCCGCAGCAGCAGCAGCAGCAACAGCAGTGGCGGCAGCAGGCACCGGCGCCGCGAGGAGGAGCCACCCCAACCACCGCCGTGCCACGTCGAAGCAGCAGCGTCGGCAGCAGCGGCAGCAGCAGCAGCAGGCGAGGCTACAGTAGCAGCTGCAGCTGCAGCAGCAGTTGGCGCAGCAGCAGGCGCGGCAGCAGCGCGGTGGTACTGAGGGACGCGCAGAGCACGTGGGGCGAGCAGCAGCACAACAACGCGGCGAGCTACGGCCCCTCGTGGGCGCTGCTGTGCTGTGCGCACGCCAGCAGGAGACTGCTGCTCCACGTGCTCTCCTTCTCTTTGAGTACCATGCTCGCTCTCCACACCCTCCACACCCTCCCTCCCTCCCTCCCTCCCTCCCTCCCTCCCTCCCTCCCTCCCTCCCTCCCTCCCTCCCTCCCTTCCTCCCTCCCTCCCTCCCTCCCTCCCTCCCTCCCTCCTGTTAGAATCACTAGCTAGGGAACGAGAAAAGGTGATGATTAGGTGAAGATTGGGGTACAAGACTAGAGTGTCGAGACTATTTGTGTACCCCCTAAGGCTAGCCCCAATATAGCCTAGATACAATTATGCATATGTTTTGACACACCCCCATAGGCGAAATGGGGGATAGCCAGAGCAAGTAGTGGTCACAAGACCAGTCAGGAACGGCAAAGCAAGCTCAGGGTGGATCTCGAGGAAACCACACAAATTCCGAGCACAAGCAAGTGGTCACAAGACCAGTTCACATGCAGTTTAATAATATAGCAAGGGGTACAGTGAGCACAACCTAGCAAGTGTAAGTATGCAGGTATATATATAGAGATCACAGTACAAACAGAGTCAAGAAGTAAGCAAGTGAGGCACAGTAGGCACAAGGCCTAGAACAGTACAGAAGCGCTGATGGTCACAAGGTTGAAGCGCCTTGGTGAACACATCAGCAGTGTTGGCCCGAGTGGCCATGTAACGCAGACGAAGCTGACCACGCTGCTGCAGCTCTCGAGCAAGGAAGTACCGTAGAGCGATATGCTTCGTTCTGTGCTCCAGTCTGTGCTCCTCACACAAGGCAATGGTAGCCTTGTTGTCGACGTACAGCACTGGAGGAGAACGAGGCCGCTCTCCCAAGTCGGTCAGCAGGTAGGTGAGCCAGCGTAACTCCTGTGCAGCCATGGCTGTGGCGTAGATCTCAGCCTCACAACTGGAGCTGAGAACGGAAGACGAGCGTGTAGAACGCCAAGAAACAGAACCAGAGCCAAGGCTGAAGGTGTAACCCTGAGACGACCGCTGAGTAGCCTGGTCGTCATCCCAAGAAGCGTCTGAGTGCCCAGTGAGTACAACTCGGTCTCGTCCTCCAAGCACTAGCCCCATGCCCGACGTACTGCACAAGTAACGCAACACCCTCTTAGCGGCATCCATGTGCTCCTTCCGGTGACGACCAGGAGCGACATAGCGTGCAAGGATGCTAAGAGGGTATGCAAGGTCAGGTCGAGTGCAGGTCATCAGGTACATGAGGCAGCCCACAAGCTCTGGATACGGGCCACTCGGCTCTACGGACTCATCCGAAGGCAGAGCTGAGAGCGAGTGACCGGTAGGCAGAGGAGTGGGCTGAGGCGAGGAGTACGTGAAGCGGAAGCGCTGAAGGACCTGCTGCACCATGTGTGACTGAGTCAAGGTGATGGTGCGTCGTGCTCTGTCCCGGGTGATCCGCAAGCCAAGATAGCTTGTCAGTTCACCCAGGTCTGTGCACGTGTGTCTCTTCTGCAGCTCCGACTTCACGTGGGCGAGTTCCGTAGTGTCAGCAGTGGCAAAGACCAAGTCGTCGACGTACACGAGGATGTAGAACGGCGGCAGTGAAGTGTCAGTGCGTAGAAACAGCGACGGGTCAGCAGTAGAAGGAGCGAACCCAAGAGCCGCAAGTGTAGTCCTCAGTGTGTCGTGCCACTCACGCGGCGCCTGGCGGAGACCGTAGACTGGCCGTCGGAGGCTCCACTGGGTACCAGGAGGGAACGACCCAGTGAAGCCAGGTGGGCGGCGCAGCCAGATCTCCTCGTGCAGGCTGCCCTGCAAGAAAGCAGTGCTGAAGTCAAGAGAGTGGAGCTCGTAGTCACGCTGAGCGGCGACGTGCAGCAGAACCCGAAGAGTGGTCATCTTCGGGGTCGGGGAGAAGGTCTGGAAGAAGTCAACTCCCTCTCGCTGACTGAAGCCTCGTGCAACGTAACGCGCCTTGAAGGCAGGCGGAGAACCCGGCGGCCGCTTCACCCTGAAAATCCACATGCCACTGACGATGTTCGCCCCAGGTGGGGGAACCTCGTCGACGTAGGTGCCTGTGGACTTCCAAGAAGCCATCTCTGCGTCCATGGCTGTCTGCCACTGAGAGGAGTACTCACCCGCGATCGCCTCAGCGTAAGAGCGCGGGGTCGGGATGTCTGGAGCATCCGGGTCTCCCTCAGGGGCAACCAGCATGGACACGAGATGAGGTAACGCAGCGGCAAAGCACTCAAACTTGTCCTGCCTGT